TCAGAGAATGAAAAATAGCTTTTGTAGGTGAAGTATTAAGATAACTAAGGGCTCTTAGTACATTGGCTATTCTTCAATATCTCCTATATTTATAAAAAATATAGATTTTCTACCTATTTTGATAGGTAGAATAATAATATAAAAACTCTATTTTGGAAGTCCTCTAGGTAGTAATAAGCCAGAAAGCAACAGACTTCTGAAGTGCTGAAAATCAGTTATCTACAGTCAGTTTTACATTTACTGTTTAACCAATGAAGAACCTGAAATGACTGAAAGCTTCTAAGATTGAATAGAACATATTTAACGTATTTATCAACCTCACTGAACCCCAAGTGGGATTGAACAGAAAGGCATCTACTATTGGATATGTTTGTCAGAAGACAAAAACAAAATTTTAAATGCAGAAAAAAGTGATTCATCACTGACAATATTTATTATATTCAATATTTATGTTGTACAAATTTCATTGGAAACTAAGGAGTCCAGAAGGGAGGGGAGAGCTTCCTCAAGGTGTAGAAAGAAAAAAGATGGCAGCTAAGACTTATTTTATTTAGCACACACAGTATTCAAAAGTGATGGAGAAATAAAGACAGCCCCAGATAGATAAAGACAGAGAGAATTTATCACCTGCGGAGTAAATCTGCCAAAAATAGGAAGTGCTTCATACTGAAAAGACAAGACAGTATGCAGTAATTTGATTCTACCAGAGAAAAATAGAATGCCAACAGAGGTAATTGCATAGGTAACTCTAAAAGACAATATAAATATACATTTTACCATTTTCACTCACAAGAAAAGAAAACAGGCCACCCAAATAATGTTTTAAGAATAGAAAGGTAGCCTAAGATACCAATTCTTTATTCTTTTAGAGGTTGTTAACTGTATCAATGTAGTGATACCTCTGCTGGAAGAAAATGCAGTTTTCTTGTTAAGTATATATGCATGCCTGAATACAGCCAAAACTTCTAGCATTACACATCCAATAGGAGAACATAAAATGTTTACATAGGTAAATATATTTAAAGAAAATTTTAAACAATCTTCAATTAAATTAAATTAAAGCATAGTCATTATAATATGGACCCTGTGGTAGATTGTGTTTGAGTCCTAGTTCATCTCTCAATAACTATAATATTAAGTCACTAAGAAAAGAAAATGATGATGGAGTGGTAAATCTGATATTTGACACATCTAGTTAGGACGTATAATTCTGTTGAAGAATTTACACAGAATACAAACCTTAAACAAGACACTTCTATGACTGAGATAAAATAAGATAAGCAATGTCACTCCATATTTTTTCTAAGAACAAACATAATGTCACTTTGCTATCTACAAGTAACAAACACCCTATATTTGGCTACCATAATAGCTGCTACATCTTTATTGATTACAAATATATGTTCATCCTAATCTGCCCTTCAGATACACTGTTTTCTGATAGCTTCTAATCTAGAACAAATTCTGGCTTTCTTAGATTGTCCTTTCAGAACATTAAAGTAATATGCAAGTTGTAACTATGAACACTGGCTCACCTCCTGAGATGTAAAGAGATTATGGTTTAAGATGAACTATGACAAAATGTTGATGATACCTCATCTCAAACAACAAATTGGTCATGATGGTACATACCCCTTATCCCACTGTTCAAGAAAAATAAATACAATCATTGTCATCCAGGCCAATGTGGACACAATATTGGAAAAAATAACGGAAGAAAAGGTATTATGTGTGTGGCTCCAGTGGTAGAGCATTTGCCAGACTTTGGCCTGACTTAAAACCCACCTACTGAAAAATAAACAACTGCACATCTTATATAATGGATTCTTTTTCTAATGTCCTTGTATGGAGACACACTGTGGTTCCCCCATGGAGTGTCTTCTCTTTCCCTACAGTAAGCAATAAAAGCTCAGTCAACCATGTCCCTCCAAGTGTTTAGATAGAAGCCTACAGATATTAACCTTTCTGTATCATAGTTTCCTAATCTATAAAAGAGAGATGTTTAATGCACATTATCTCATAATACTGTGAATATTTGTTGAGCCAAAACATGTGAAACATATAAAACAGTTCCTGCCCATGGTAAATGGTCCCAGATGACAAAGATGATAATAGAATCAGATTGGAAATTAATGCAGTACAGCTCAGAACAAATCTGCTAATTTTCCAAAATAGATGTGAGAAGTGAATTTCCAAGTCTTTCACCCACATTGAAGGTACAAAAATATAGAAAAAGGAGGTCAATTGAGAATTTACAAAGAGAATTTCTCTAAAGAACTATACTGTGAATTGTGTCTTCCATCCATCCTGGTAGGGGCTGAATAAGGAAGCATCTCTTAATCACTTCATCAGGAAAAGGAGACTATAAAATCAACTGAGGAGCTTTAAACACATATTCTCAGAAGTTAAATGGTCAAATCCACCTTGATTTGACTACCCTTTTAGAAGTATACAAAAGGTAAGAGACAGGATAGATGACTGACGATACACAGGTTATTTGGGAAATGTCTGCCCTCTCAAAGTTTTCAAGGGCATAAAATGTGAAAATAGAACACAGATACAGATTTTCCATGTGGACCAGAGAGATACTCATGCATGAGACAGAAGTGAATCCCGGTGGAGTTTCCTGGAGATGGGCAATGAGATAGTGAAGTGGATGCATCAGCCCAGGAAATTTGAGATTATACACCATTCCTAGGAAGACAATTACAGATATTAAAACATTACCAATAAATGCTCCCTCTCCTATATTAAGTGATTTCTGAAAACCTTTGCAATGATAGATGTCTAACAGTACCAATCAATGAAGATCATTTCATTCCTCTTATTGCTTCTCTGCCATTCTATTCTTTCCCAACCCTCCCCATCTTGCCCTGAGAGATGGGACACCATATTTATAATGATGCTGGAGGTCAGAGGTGCTGGCCTTCATCATTGGCAGTAGAATTCTATCATCATAATGTTTGTTCCATGATGTCACTCCGGTGATTATATTACATTACATGATAGGAAACTTTTAGTAGCAGATAGAATTAAGGATATTAACTGCCTAAACTGATTCAATTATTTCTTTAAAAGTAAATAGTTTCTTTAAAAGCAAAAGGAAATTTAGAAAAACTTAAAAGGTAGAAAAAAACAGTGGAAGGGATCCTTCAGTGCTGAGAGAGAGAGGACCAGAAGCCTATATTAACCAAGAGTGACCAACAGTGACATATAACAGAACCCAGGACCTTTCTTATACAGTTGTTAGCAATGTTTTTCCACTTTCAATTATTTGAAAGTGGATTTTTCTCCAGTCTTTGTATTAAATCTCTGGCTAATCAAAATTTTGATTTCAGCTGTGTGAGCCTAAGAACAGAAAAGAGTCAAACTTTCTAGATATCTGACGTATGAAATTTGAGATTACATATAACTTAACTTGCTAAGTTTATGGTGATTTGTTTCAAAGCAAATGCAAACTAACACAAGCATGTAGAAGGGCCATCAACGTTAAATCAAGTTTAGATTTATTAATATCTCAATTGAGAATATTTGGCAGCTAAAATGATTCATGGTACATTTTATGGCTTAAAAGGGATCATAAAATGAATGTGCTGAGATTTTAAAGTGCAAAGGAAGTTTTCTAATAATAAAAAAGAACTTAAATGCCAATAAAATTCCTTTGTGCATGTTTTCTGTGAAATGTACTTGTTTAGGAAACTAGCTATTCACTGGATATCCAACGACTGCTTGTGGCATCTACAAACCCAAAAGTTATTAGCTTTAAAGTATTTATTAACTAGGAAATTAAAATTAATAAATTCGAATCTTTTAATCTAGCTATGTCAAAATTGTGTGATGTTATTTTCACCAAGAGCAAAGTGAATTTATTGATGGATTAGCATGGTAGTGAGAATGTAGAATTTTTGAATTATGGAATATAAAACCCATCAAGGATTATATTTTTATAAGTTTTTTATTGTGAAAATACTGTACAGAGGGGTTTCAGTTACATGAGCAAGGTAATGAGTACATTTCTTATCAAGCATTAATTCCTCTTCTCAAGGATTATAATTTAAAGCAAAATATAAGGTATAAGGTGGAGCATCAGCACATTTGAGAAGGGTAGCATTGTATTTGATATCATATCTTATGAAATAAAACCAACTCTGCCTTCAAACAAATATCCTGATAGTAATTTCGCTATCCAAAATCCATAAATTAAACTGTTTTAATATTTTTGCTTTTGAATTAACTTAAATGAAAGTGAAATTCAAGCAAAAAGATTGACCTCTTACAAAATAAATCAGTCATTAAATTTCTGAGGTGCCATATATATGAATGCATGTATATAATGTATAATGTATACTAATATATGCATAAATAATATTATATATTATTTTATATTTTAAATCAACTATAATAATAAGATTACAATGATTTCTGATTTGTTATCTTCAAATATATACACTTGTGAAAATAAGTGATAGATAGTATTTTATAAGACAAACTTAATTACTCCAAGTAATAATTACTTTAAAATGTCAATATGATATTCAACATGGTTGATTCTTTTAAATTTTATTTTATTGTTAAGATGCTGTGCAGAGGTTTTACAGTTATATGAGTAAGGTAATGAGTACATTTCCTGTTGAACATTGTTACCCCCTAATTTGTTTTTATCCTGCTATCAACAATAAAAAATATTTTCAATGTGTTTGCAAAATAACTGAAGCAGAAATGAAGCAGAAAATAGCCTCATGTTATACAATCATGATTGTTAATAGTGAAAAACTTGGGTCTCAGCATCAAGAAGAGTATTGAAAGATTGAAAAGAAGGTCTTTTATTGGATTAGAATAGGATTATTGTCACTGAAATGCCAAGTAGATTTAACTACAGTAAAAAATTCTCATACTTTATGCTTTTTAAAATTATGTTTAAATAGTACTACAAAGGAGTTTCCATTTAACAACATAGTTTACGAATACAGTATCAATGTCACAACTTACCACATTTTCACTTTTTCCTCCCTTACCCACTCCTCTCACTCTTCTTAATATTGTAGAATAAACATTGGATTCTTGACTGCATTCACCTCCTCTCTCTTCATTTGTCCACATCTTTCCCCTTGACCCCACCCACTCCAAACTCTTTCAGGTACCAGATTCCTGGTGTTTTATTTTGCTCAACTTTGTCTAAGGAATTACACTGAGTTCTCCCTTGAATCTACCATATTTAAGTTGATATATTTGTATGCACTTGTATTCCATTCAAAGAATTGACTCATAAATTTATAATCTGCCCTATTTCAGTTAATATATACATACATATATATGTATTATATATATATATATATATATATACTTGCATACCAACTAACATTTATACAATTTTGTATTCTTTTGCTCAAATGAACTGTTAAGAAGATACATGTCTTTGGACATTCAGACAGCCTTCCTGCTAAAACTGACCAGCTGATTTTGCTGGTTCACACTTTTAATTTGTGAGGAGAAGATGGAGAGAACTTCATTCCAAGGCTTACTCTGGCAGAAAGTTTCCCATTCAATCAATAAAAAGCTGGGCCCAGTGGCTCATGCCTATCATCCAGCTATTCAGAAAGACTAAAATAAAAGTCAAAGTTCAGGCAGCCTGGGGAAAAAATACCAAATTATTCCAAAATAACAAAAGCAAAGGGCTTATGATATGGCTTTAGTAGAGAATTTGCCTAGCAATAGGAGGCCCTGAGACAGAGAAAGAGAGAGGGACAGAAAGATAGAAACAAAGAGGAAGCAGAAAAAAACAGAATGGAAGAAAGAAGAAAAAGAGAAGAAGGAGGAGGAGGAAAGTAATGATGACAAAAAATGAAAGAGAAAAAGAAAGGTGAAAAAGAAAGCGGTCTTCTAGGATGTCATGCGAGACAGCCTTACATTCTTACAAGATATATGAACAGACAACACTGAGGTCCCCTGAGGATTTAAATCGAAGAAGAAAACTGGAGAGCTGAATTCTCTGTTTCATCAGAAGCAAAACGGCCCCATTTCTTCTGCAGTTTGATATTGGTTCTCAGGCTTTCAGAAGGCAGGACCTTGCCAGGTTCCACATCACTGGCCTCAAACTGAGTTGTAACATTAGTTCTCTTGGTTCTCAAGCTTTCACATTTGGACTAATTTTACCACTGGCTTTCTGATTCCCCAGGTTGAATAGGGCATTGTGGACCTTCAGTACCACATATCACATAAACATTTTCGCATAAACAAGTTCCCATTGTGAATTTCCTCTTACATATTTACATAAATCCAACTGCGTCTATTTCTCTCAAGCACTATTAATAACAGTAAAATGTTGATTTACATAAAAGTCCACAGTGCATTTGCTCTGTTCCAGTTAGTGTAATTACTATAAGAAAAGAAATCATTGCAGGGCAAATGACATAGCTAGCAAGACCAATAGAAAGCCCACGGACTGGGAGAAGATCTTTACTAGCCATACAACGGACAAGGGTCTCATATCTAAAATATACTTGGAACTCAAAAAATTAAACCACCCAACAACAAATCCTCAAAGAAACAACTGCCCAATAAGTAAGTGGGCGAAAGACTTAAAGAGAAGCTTCTCTGAAGAAGAAAGAAGGATGGCCAATAGACACATGAAGAAATGTTCAACATCCCTAGCCATAAAAGAAATGCAAATCAAAACAACATTGAGATATCACCTCACTCCAGTTAGAACAGCAAAAATCAAGAACTCTAACAACAACAGATGCTGGAGGGGATGTGGACAGAAAGGAACCTTACTTCATTGTTGGTGGGAATGTAAACTTGTTCAACCACTTTGGAAAGCAGTATGGAGGTTCCTCAAAAGACTCCACATAGAGCTCCCCTTGAGCCAGCAATCCCACTTTTGGGCATTTAACCAAATGATCACAAACAAGGCCACACTAAAGCTACCAGCACAACTATGTTTATTGCAGCATTATTTACCATAGCTAAGACATGGAACCAACCCAGATGCCCCTCAGTAGATGAATGGATCAAGAAGATGTGGTATATATACACAATGGAATTCTATGCCTCCATCAGAAAGAATGACATTGCCCCATTTGTTAGGAAATGGAAAGGCTTGGAAAAAATTATATTAAGTGAAGTAAGCCAGGCCCAAAGAAACATAGGTCCCATGGTTTCCCTTATTTGCAATATCTAGTATAGGTATGAGTCAAGCGGAAAAAGTCAGATAATGTGATGTTAGGAAAACGAAACCTCAAATATGTATTTTAATGTTTTTGTTTCTTTCATGCATGTGTTTCTAACGCATTTATAAGATTATTTCTTTGTTGCTTTGTATGTCCCTCCCCCACAGTGTAACCCCCGCTTTCACTATATTTGATGTCAGTATAACATGTGGAGGAGATGGGGACAAACAAGTCGTTTAAGGATTCAGGTGGACCTGTTGCAACAATGAGAAGTACAAAATGTCATGTCAAAACCAGCTTTACAATGTCGGTGGGTGGGGGGGGAGGGGGGGTATGATTGGATGGGAGGGAGGGGGGAGGCTGGGAAGGGAGGTGAAGGGTAAACAAAGGAGGAGGCTGCAATGCTTGGTAAGAAATGTATGCATTATCCTGCCCATGTAATTGTAACCCCTCTGTACAGTATGTTCTCAAATAAAATAAAATTAAATTAAAAATTAAAAAAAAAAAAAAGAAAAGAAATCATGACCTCTATCAAGTGAGAATATTATCATTTTAATTGGTAGTTAGTAATTATTTTAAGTGTTATTTACCTGGGAGGAAGTTTGTACTTGAATGTCATAGGAGAGAATATTAACAAATTGTGTTTGGATTTTATACTTGAAATGTAGACACATGAATTTAAAATGTTCTTTTTATTTTGAGTCAGGACTTGGAAAATATAGGTTACACAACCTTTAAGAGATGTACATTATATTTCAAACTGATTACAAGAATATTTGATCAAGTACATAATAAGAAAATCTTTTCAACTACGCTTATTTAAAAATACCTCTTACTCAGGTTGATTTTCACACATTTCTCCAATTTTATCCTGTACTCAATCTCAATACCTTTCTTAAGTTTTAATGTACAATATCCCATTTTGCTTTGTAACCACTACTGATGTCTCCTGAGACTCAATTGCATATCTATTTTCATATTTATCCCATTTGGACAGTCACACACTAGTGAAGACATAATTACACATTTATTGTTAAGAAAGTTTTAAATTTGAAGAAAAACCTTAAAATCTATAAACAACAGGTTTTGCTATGTTTTATCTTTATTATAAATTGAGAAAAGTATATGCTTAAACTGAATCAAAAATAAAAGCAATAATTTTAGGAATTGGGAACAAAAAGTTAGGATGAGAAAGTTTTTTTTTTTCAATAATGACTTGGAAATTAACAAAGGTATTTCAAATCCTTTCAAAATGTTTATAATATGCTCAAAAGTATCATAATTGAATCCAAATATTATACAAAGCTGAAAGTTAGCTAGATAGATAGATAGGGAGCTATTATCTCTGTAGCATATATATTCATAAGCTTGGATGCCCCAAATCAACTGTTAACAACCTCTTTCATTATCAAAAGTTCATTCAATAAAATGGTTTCATAATTGAAAGCCTATATATTTTACCAAATATGTCTTCATCTTCAATGATTGCCATCTCTACCTCTGTTCCAGTAATGATTGTGCATGTAACAGGAACTTGGAGAAGAATGCTAATCTCACCAAAGGACTCCTTCTCATTTAGTCTACCCACATAAATGAGCTTTCGAATTTTTTTCTGCAAAATATAGACATAATTGTTGCTCACTGTTGGCATAAAAGTTATCATGAGAAACTTAGTCATAAGCTGCATGTTACAGTAAATTTGCAATTTCACTCAAATCAGAAAGCAAAATTCCTATACATGGGTTCATATTAGAATAATTGTATGTTCAGGGCTGATGCTAAATAAGAATTACAGCATTGTCAGTTATACTCAAATAAACTTATCTGATCAATTAAAATGTCTCATAAATACTGAGGTAGATCAATTTGTTTAGGTTTTAGATATGACTTTGTTATCAGAGCTTAGTTTAGAATAATGTTTCTTTCTTTTTTACCTCAGCCTCTAATGCAAGGCACAGTTACTAGACTAAAAGGAAGGTGTGGATGATGTCATGACAGAGGTGTTGAGAATGATGGAGAGAGTCTTTCTATTCCCTAACAAATGGGTGGTGTCATTCTTTCTGATAGAAACATAGAATTCCATTATACATATATGTATGTATGTATACATACATATATACATAATGCATATATGCATACATGCATATATTCATCTACTGAGGGGCATTTGGGTTGGTTCCATATCAGATTAAGTGAAGTAAGCCAGAACCAAAGAAACACAGGTCCCATGGTTTTCCTTATTGTCAATAATCTTAGCAGACCTAATAGCTCAATAGCTATGTACATATGGCCATATAAGTTGATGCTAAGCAAAATGAACTCCAAGACATAGACACAGACGTTTATTTCTTTGTTGTTGTTTTTTAATGTACTATGTGATTTATTGTTTCTTTTTTTCTTTTTTATTGTGAAAATACTGTACAGAGGGATTACAATTACATGGGCATGATAATGAGTACTTTTCTTATCAAGCATTGTAGCCTCCTCCTTTGCTTCCCCTTCCCATCCCTTCCCATCCTACCTCCACCCCATAATCCTCCCCGCCCCCACCATGTTCTTCCCCCTATGGTATATCCCCTGTTGTCACTGTATTTGATTTTGGTACCCTAGTATTGTATATATGTTTATTTGAATTAGGAAAGAGAAGGGGAACAAAAAATGGTGAGACAAAGGATAAGAGGGGAACCAATGGATTAGGGTAGAACCAATGCAACAGTGGCATACACAAGACAGTATGTTGGAAATGATCTGTACAACTTTGAGGGGGTTTGGGAAGGGAAATAGAAGAAAAATGAGAGAAGGGGTAACAAGTTTGACACGAAATGTACTTATTTATTCTTACTTATGTAACTATAACCCCTCTGTACATCACCTGGACAACAACAAAAATATATCTATAAAAATAATGGAGAGAGGAGGGATTCTCCACTGCATTTCCTGTTTCAATTACAAAAATAAAATAAAATTTAAAAAGAAAAGTGAGATTGACTTAACAAACCAGAAATTTAATTTCAAATTAGACAATGTTTATAGAAAAGCCTACCAAATTTTTATTTCATGTGACTCTGGAAGAAAAGTTGAGATCTCAAGTTATCTTTTCTGGTAGAGCCAATCAGTACTTAAATGACAGTGATGTGGTTAGCAATAAAGATATAAAAAATAAAGGCATGAGGATGGAGAGTTCACAGGAATTTATAATAAGAGGTAAATATATAGCCTTCATCCTAGAATGGAGGCTTCATTATTTGCAATGACTATGAATGTCAAAATTCCATGCTAACTTTATGCTGAATAGTAAGCAGAGTGTTAGTCTGTTCACACATTTATTGAAGACTGTGTGATCAAGAAGAAATAGTCCTTATTCTTCTATGATTATACATTAGGTGTTTTCTGATTCATAAACATGGTATGAAGTGGAATGTGCTCATTTTGTTCAACCTGTCATCAAGGTTCATCCATCCCCCTCCCATTTCCTTAGTGCTTGTTGGTGGCACGCAACGGAATATTCCACAAACTATTCCACTCTCAGCAGACATTTGAGCCATTTCTAGCAATTGTTTTATATCTTTGCATAGATATACATTGTCATTCTTGTTGAATAAATACCCAGAGTGAAATTGTTTGCCCATATAGCAAGGTACAACTTAGCTAGACTGTTATCATTGTGGTTATACTTTGCTATAATTTTAACTTATATTTATCCAACAATTAAAAATGTTAATAATTTTAATATGCTTATTATTCATTTCTATACTGATAACTCAACATCTTACTCCTTATCTTACATATTATCTTACAAGTCAATATACATATACCAACAAAATGAATGGTCAAATAACTGAACTGAAATTTCATCAAAGAAACAAAGCGGCATTCATTATATGTGGGAAAAGATATTATACATCCTTGACTTGTTAGAATAGATTAATTATGAAGAAACATACATAAATTTAAAACTTACCACTTTGTTTAATGGTTGTTTTACTAGTCCCACGATGCTTCTATAAACATTACAATACCCATAATTAATAAATGCCATAAAGGAAATGACTTCTCCACTTTCCACTATCACTGAAAGAAAGATAAATCATTATTTGTATTTTGATTATTTTCTGAGATTTTATTTTAGATATTGTGACAGTAAATATTCTGACTTAATTCAATAACTAATCATTGTCAATTTCATAATAGACATGGATTTAGATAATAGTTGCTTGGTATATAATTTTTACTTTTGTTTTATATTTTCTTTATCTATTATTTTATACTAATTATTTTATATATAATTTTATTCTATAGCATATACTATATTGGGTATTGTATTTCAATCTGTAATATATAGAAATAAACATTGCAAGGCCCTGGCAGTAATGATATTAATGTGCTAGTAATTGTCTAGTGGGGGAATAGAAAACAGAGTTTGAGAAAAGGAAGGGAAAATGGAAATATTGGGAAAGAGTGAGAAGGGGCTAACACTGCTGGAAAAGAAATGTACTCAATACCTGATTTAGGTGACTGTAACCCTTCGGTACCTCACCTCTACAATATAATTTTTTTTAATATGGCCAACCCACCACATGAAAAAAATAGTCAAGAAGGGCACAGAGCTTTTTTCCAATTCTTATGAATTACAAAAAGATATAGTCAAACACAAAAGAAACCCAGTGGTCTGAATTCTCAGACCTGAGCTCTTATAAAACTTTCCTTAAAGGTCAAATACTACTACACAAATCATATACAATATCACAAAGGACAAAAGCCTTAGCAAAGATTTTTGTTCAATCAGATTAACAATGGAAAAGCCAAACCACTGCAACCAAATCTATGAGGGAATTTCATTCCTTCGTGGGAACATTTGCTACCTGAATAGTTGCATATGTTCTTTATGAAAAACATAATTTCAATGAGCACAGTACTGCAAATCTTTTCTTATTCAGCAACCATTTTATTTACTAGCACAGAACAAAAATATGTACCTTCACATTTAATAAAATAAGAAAATTATTCAGATCTTCAAACATGCAAAGCAAGCATTTCAATATATACTCCTGCCTTTTTTGTTTTAACATTTTTAAAGTCCATTTTGTACTAACAAATCTAGTAAAAAGATACTTTTGAACGAATACTGTTTCTTGTCCAAGAACATTATGCTTCAAGTATTGCCTTTTATAGAACTCATTGTTAATGTTTGTTTTATATATTTGTTCAATTTTGTTTCTAGATATTTAATATTTGTGAATGCTATTATATATTTAATCTTTTCTTCCTTCAAGTTTTATAGTTATTACAAAAAAACACATTTTTAAACACGAATATTGCAATTTGTTCCCAATTCTTTATTTCCTAATAATTTTCTCACTAACTTTCCACAAAGGTTCCATGTATTTCAAAATAATGAGACAATAATGATGTTTTTGCCTCTCCTTTAATAATTTCAATTTGTTTCTTGTTATTAATTTGACTTAGGAATATTAGCAAGCTCATAATCAAAATGACAATGCTTCTGGTCTTTTCTGTAACTGGCATCTCTTTTGGAGATATAAGTCATTTTACATGTTTGAAGGTTTTCATCTATTCATATTTGCTTAAGAATGTGTGTCAGAGGTATATGTTTACTTTCTTCAATGTTTCAAGTTAACAAAAAGAAGATGGTATTTTCCTTCATCTGCATTGTACTGAAATACAGCAACATCTTGTTTTGAATTGAAGTAGCTCATCAAATTTATACTGGTATGGGGTTCTTAAAAGCAATACCACATTACATTTCCCAATATTATTTTTGAGGTTTCTACATTGATATTCACATCTGAGATCAGTTCGTAGTCTTTTTGGTATTATCATTGTCAGTATTAGAGTCCATGTCATAATGAATTTTGAAAGAGCATCGGTATCAGCCTGTTCTTTGCAATTTGATCAAATTAAGCAATTTTAGACCTATTAAAATATTATACTATTATTTCAGTATCCTCCTGGTGCTTAGAAAGGAACTCTTCATTATTCTAAAAGAGGTTATTCTGCTCTCATTTTCAAAATAGGTAAAATCAAGAAATTAAACTCAGCCAGACATTGGTGTCTCCGACCTGCTATACCAGTTACTTCACAGGCGGAAATCAGGAAAAATATGGTTTGAGGTGAGCTAGACCCCACTACAACAGAAAAATATGACCATGTTTGTGAACACTTCTGCTTCAAGGTGTAGTGGGATACATAAATAGGAGGATCAAGTCCTAGTCAGCTTGGGCAAAAAGTGTCCATAGCAAAAGTGGCTAAAGGACTTGCTCAAAAGTGGAGTGGAGAGCCTGCTTAACAAGCTGGAGGCCTTCAATTCCAACTCAAGTGCTACCAAAATGGCGGGGAGAAACTAGCTTAAACTGGCTGCTGGTTGCTCATGCTTGTTATCCTAGCTACTCACGTGCTGATATCTAACAATTGTGGGTCAAAATCAGGCCAAACAGGAAAGTATGTGAGACTCTTATTTCTAATTAACCAGCTGTGGCCCAGACAATTGAGCATTAACCTTTAGAGAAACAAAGCAAAAAGAAAAGTTCTGGGACCTGAGTTCAAGTCCCAAGACTGACACACATTAAAAAAAAATAAAATAAAAATAAAGTAAAAGAAGAACACAGATTTAAATCTGAATGTTTAAAATGGAGTTATAGATATGTTTGCCTTAATATAGTATTGTTCAAATTATTTGTGTTAGTAATAAATTTCTATGTCCTCATATTAAAAGAATGTCATAATTTAAGACAAATTATAAGTTTTTCACAACCTAATGTTATTTGTATAGCATTTTATCCTTTGAAGAACTAATCATTTTAAAAGGTGCCATTTTTTTAATCTACTAAAGAAACATAAGAACAAACACTACAGAGCAAATCTCCCTGAGATACATCATCACTTCCTTTTTTTCTCAGGTAACCCACATTACAAACTGATGCTCAGCAGTTGAGGTAGTTTTTCTAAGTGATAGGCTGTGCTTCTCATGCACTAAAAACTATTGATGGATCCCTCATCATTGGAAAACTGATCTAAGTCATGTACCTCATATATCTTCTCTTTGGAACTATGTTTTAAGTATTCGAGAAATGGCCTGAATAAATAAGAGAGCAAAATACTTCTTGAGCAGACCAGCTTAATCTCATAAACAAATCTCTCAGTGCAAAATGCTTGAATAATTATCACTACATTTTTCAGACACTTGTCACTTATTCTTGGACAGCAATCAAAATTTGATTTATATTTTTCTTTCTATGGTAAATATTATCTCCAGATTAAGTTCTAATAATATTTTCTAAAATAATATTTGTCAAACAAATGCAAGTAGATTAATATTAATCTAAGATGTGTATAGAGCAGGGAACCTTCTCAAGTTTTCTATCATTGTCATTTCTAAAATAGGCATTAGGTAAATACTATTTTAATATAGAGGCTTGCCAAGCTTTCTGGGTAAAGAATGACTTAATGTTAAAATAAACATCAGAAAGTGATACTACTTTCAGAAAAAAAAAGGTCAAAAACTAAATAATGAAAATGATTTTTGAAGTATGATCTTTGAGAGCTTTAAGCAGCACAACTTTAACACATAAATCTTAAAATTATGCGAATGTATAAATTATCTCTGAACAAATGCTAATCTTATAGCTGCATGAGTCTACCTAAGATTTTCCTAAAAGTTCTAGCAAGGTTCAGTATCTAAAAACAACAAAAGAGAGTCACAGATCTTTGACATGGCTGCCCTCTACTGACCCAAGATTTGTCACATTTAATAAAGTAATTGTATAGAATATTATTATCTAAACATTTCTAGTCTTCTAAAATGTTTAATCTAATCAAAGTACCCAGGTAACATTATTTCTATGCTTGAAAGGAGTGTATAACATTATTTAAAATAACTACTTGTGTGACTGGTAATAAAATGGAAAAATGCAAAAATTGTAAATAAGAAATATAGTAATGTAAAAATATAGAAAAATCGATCAACCCAAGCAGAGATATGCTGTGATTTTGCCACTAACTCAAAGCTTCTGAAGTCTTGAATAAGTAGTCGTTTGGGTTCCAGAATGTGTAGAAATGCCACTATTAGAAATTCAGAAGTAGGCCCGATGCCGGTGGCTCATGCCTGTAATCCTAGCAACTCAGGAGGCTAAGATCTGAGGATAGCGGTTCAAAGCCAACCCGGGCAGGAAAGTCCCTGAGACTCCTATCTCCAATAAACCACTCAGAAAATCGGAAGTGTCGCTGTGGCTCAAGCGGTAGAGTGCTCACCTGAGATGAAGAGGACAGGGACAGCGCCCAAGCCCAGAGTTCAAGCCCCATGACCGACCAAAAAACAAGAAATTCAGAAGTAGCAAAACCTTGTCATGTGAAGAGAGAGAAGAAAGGGGTAACATTGTCCAAAAAGACATGGACTTGTTATTTGATTTATGAAACCAGAACCCCTCTGTACATCATTACAATAACATAAATAAATAAATACATACATACATACATACTGTGGCTTGTCCCATGACAGAAATGGTATACATGTAACCCACACACAATCCTGACAGATGAAAGGGAGCAAAATTGCAACCTTGAGCAAGACAGCATCATGTTCAAAATAGATTTTTTTTCTTAAACCACTCATATAGTGCTTTAAGGAGAAAGAAAACAGTAAGAGAGAAATATAGTTTAAGAAGATAAGAATTTATTCTAGTTATTGGTCAATCCAATATTGATGTATGGATGAGAGGAAGATGGAGAGGAAAGAATGAAAAGGAAGAAGAAAGAGAGAGATAAAGTGACTGGGAGAGAGAGAGAGACAGAGAGACAGGCACACAGAGAGACAAGGAGTTTTGCTTTGTAGAAACAATGGAAGCCTTCAAAGGTGTTTCTTATCATAAGAATCTTGAACAGTATCTATTCTAGAGATTTGAGAAAATCCATGCAAGGGATTATATTTCCTGTCAGCATTGAAAGCAATCCCAAATAGAAATACACTGTAATGGTAGCTGTCTCTGAAACACGTAGAGGATAATCTGCCATTTACAGATGAATTCTACTAGCACACGACTCAGTTTTTGGTTTCA